TCAGGGGCAGCTGAGTTATTAACGTTCAAAATCTTCCATAATTTTGTTACATCTTCCATTCCCGGTTTTCACAAAGTGTAGCCCCATATAGAAATCACAGACGTAGTCTCACTTCAAAAAAATCCATTCCGAAAGAAAGCCATCTTCAAAATAACGTGTTGTTTGCAGGAGGGTTCCATATGAAATTTTAAAGATTAAACATGATAAATATGTCAAGAATTGCTAACCCCGTCGGGCGTTCTTACCCCGTCTTCCCCTACAGCGAAGCGAAAACAATATTTTAATCCGAACCGTAAACTGACATCCAGTTTTGATTTCAATTTGATGTTGAAAGCAAAACTTGTTTTCATTTTCCTCTAATTTTGATGCTCTGCTTTGCTCGGGAAGCGAGAAGTGCTGACTGCGAGCAAACTTTCCTGTTTTCCGTTGTTTTCCGCCGATCCGATGAAGCACTCGAAAAACTTCCTACTAAATAATGATGCTAGCACATGACAGAGTTTCAACGGCGGGGCACGGACGACGCCACATCGACAACCGACGCCAAGGCTTCATCCCGGCCTCGTGAGCGGTGTGCGGAAATGGCCAGGAGGGGAAGAAATAAATTAAATTTGCTTTTACAGTGAATATTTCCAGTTTCTCATCAATGACGACAGGGTGGCGAAGGGTGCGAGCTGGGGAAAAGCAAACTCATTTAAATTCAATCGAGAAATTTTTAATTTGCTTATTATTGGCATTTCTTTCGCTACTCTTGTTGTTTTATATTGGCGCCGCTGCTGCCGGTGCTGAGTGGGATTCGACCTCGTGGGGGCAATTGAAGTCCGAATAATTCCGGGAAAAAACAGTGTCGGTACAATGTTGGTGTTGTTTGCTTCCGTTTTAATCAACCCCGTGATTCTGCTTCATTGACCGTTTTGATTTTTCTTCATTTTCGTGGAGGGCGTACACAATTTTTTCGCACTGATGAAATGGATATTTTTGACGTGAAATCGGTTTGAGAAAAGTTGGATAGGGTTGCGGTTTTGTGCGGATGTGGTCCCAAGGGTGAAGCGCTTGAAATGTACTTCAAATGCATCAAACGAATTTTGTATTCTAACGGGAATCCAATACCTGTCAGATGAAAGGAATTAATCAAATTAAATAAAGTGAATACCTTTCTTAAGACATCAGCTCAATGCGATTGATTTCAAAGAAGCAGAGTCTACAATTTCGTATCCTCTTCTTTATCATTTGAAAAAATGAGCAAAAAGAAAATCGGAAAGTGAAACAAATGACATTTTTCTTTTTTTTCTCAATGACCGTCATCTCATCTTATCGCCTCTATTTCAAAATGATACTCATTTATCGGCGGGGTTTCCAAGCACGGGAACAGTGGGCAAGATGACAATGATAAGCGACTAAAAATAAAACAGTCGGCAAGCATCCAAGTAGGCCTGTAGATTCAGACTGGAGGCGGATCGAAATCGGAGTCAATGCTATTCTACAACTCCGACTCTGAATAGTTCGGAGTTTAGTCCAACTCTGCAGTCTTCGAATTCAGAGCGTATGTGACCTTTTTGTTGAAATTTATCCCAGTGTGTCATCGTGCAAGCACCAGGACCTGCCACCGGTAGAAACCGAATCGCGTGGGGAGATTGACGTTAAATGAAAAATAGAAAAGCATCGAGATTAAGAGGATAATGATAATAATCGTAAAAAGAAACGATATACATGTAGAAACGCTACACACCCCATCGCCCAGAGCTGATCAAAAAAGTTGAGAACACAACACGCAAATAGTGTGCGGACTCGCAGGAAAAATCTCCGTAAAACTCAATGAAAGCGCTACCAACTTCCATCCAACATCCATTTGCAATCTTTTCAAATGAGGGTTAATATGGCACACGCGACGCAAGATTGAGGAGAAGCACGTGGCTATTGGGAATGGGTGAAATGGCTCATTTTGAAGATATATGGAACTACCCAGAACAATGTTGTCAGGTATGATGGCTCTGGGTATGTTATGGGATAACATACGGTATGAGAGCTAACAAATTAATTTAAAATCCACTAGGGGAACAAGCAGGAAAAGCAGAGATGGGATTTAAAGTAATAAGCGTTGCCTAAATAATAGCAGGGATTTCCGAATGAGTGTTTGAACCATTTTTTACACTACGCAATATAAAACACACACTGAAAGGGGGTGAATTCAGCATGTTTCATTGACATTCCTTTCGTATTTGGAATAGCGATTCGTCTTTCTGCTGTGCTGTGGGTGATTATGTAGAGGAAATTTAGTTTGTATTTTTAAGTTACATCATCCTCACGACGATTATTTGTTATATCGCCTCAATAAAAATAAATTTTCTTAAAAGCACTTACAAGCACATTGTTTGATTTTCTGTAAGTTTTGTTCAGATAAGTTCTCACTGCTTTAATTACAGGATTACCCGAATAACGTGGAGCTATTTCTCTCACTGCCATTTCTCTACGAGTATATAATCAACTTATAAGATATTCATATAGAATTTACCTGATACATTTTCAATATTTAATATTGTTTTCATTGGATTTTCTTATAGCGCAAATTTATTAGACTTTCACATAATAGGAATATGTCATATTGGTTCAGTGCACTAGTTCTGCTCTCAATGAAAACATAATGAACCTATTAGACATGAGTGAGAGCAATATTCGCTAAACTTTCCAATATTAGGAGAGAACGGGGTAAGACCGCCTTCTTAAGGAATACATTTTTAGCTTTTTAGCTCTAATGTGCAAGAAATTTTGAATCTTTGACAAAAGCTCAAATTGGATAAAAGGATGAAATGAACAAAAGGTCAAAATGGACAAAAGATCGAATAGAATCGAATAGAATCGAATAGAAAAAGACAAATCTCGCCTAACATTTGAAAAGGGTCTATCCTCGTTGATCGATTCTCTTCATCGACTTTCTCTTTGGCGAATAACCCGACTGCAAATGAATTTCATTTTTTTTTACTCATTTCATTTATACAGCCTCAAGCTGTATTCAAACGTTATACGATATGAGGCAACCACAGAAAAACAGACATAACACTCGCAAGTTGTTTATCGAACAAGCATTTAACGGTCAATTTGAAAGTATCGTAGTTGGTAGTACCGCCACCTGTGGCGCGCATAGTCAATTCCCTTGCGTTTGACTGTTCAGCGTACTGCCCACCACAGTGTACTCAACAGATGGCGGTAATGTTTTAGTGATGATGTTTTACAGTGAGAAATGTTCAATGTGTTATGTCTGTTTGTCTGTGAGGCATCCTTTAGTCAACCTCTATACCAGGCAAATATGGCGAACTTAGTCAGCTACTTATGGCTGTTGGGACGGTTGTGACAAGCTCTTATAGCATATCCATTTACGCTTCTAAGCAGCTGTTATCCTGCCGTTTAGTTGTGTGCGAACTTGAAATGCGCTTATTCAACCTTTTCCCGGTTATCCAATAATCACTACACAGGTTTCCCTTGAAGCCGGGTTAACTATTATTTACGCTGTTTTTGTTGGAAGAATTAGTCATATCGGCCATTTTCCACAGAGATAGCTCTGTTCCGCTGGTAGGAAGTGATAAAAATCCCCATATATAATTGGAGAAAAAGTGGGAGTAACTCGTTTTCGGTGCATATTCAGGTAAAAAATAGTGAACCACAACCTAAATAAATTAGCCGGCGCCGGTGGTGTAGTGGTAAGCGTGACTGCTTTCTAACACCCCAATGGGTCTGGGTTAAATCCCAGCCGAGGTCGGTGGGATTTTTCTGAGGCATAAAAATCTCTGATCACGTCTTCCTTCGGAAGGGAAGTGTTGGTCCCGACCCATGTGTATGTGTGTTGAATGGGTGCGATATCCTACGCAGGTGTGGAAGCTGCCTTCCTGCACATTCGGTTGCCGTCAATAGATGGCAATCGATGTCCGTCGGTGATTGGCACTAGATTGCGGAACAGAGACCGACGTTAAATAAAGGAACCTAAATAAATTAATTGGTTGTTTAGTTTTTTTTCCGGAAATTATTGTTAATCAAGCTACAATTAAATAAAAATGATTTTTCCCCATACCGTTTAACCTGCTTTACTACCACTCTCCAGAGAGCCAACAAATTCAAATTTGAGAGAGAAAATTCTCTCTCACGACCTTAATTTCTCAACATGTCATGTATTTTGATGACATTCGATTTGTGATTTCCCTTTCACAGATTACAAAATAGAGTACCTGTCACTACAAAACATGTCTGGTACCTCTATAAATGCATTTAGTTTAATATTTGAAGTCCATCCTTTTTTTACATTCTCTGCAAAGAAGATAATTTCTCTGATGGAATCTGATGGAACATGAATGCAAAAGCTTGACAAAATGATTAATTAATCATTTTGTCAAGCTTCTGCATTCATGTTGCATCAGATGTCACTGCTGTTGTTTGCAGTGATTTGTATCGGAAACTACGGACAATCTGTTTTCCTATAATTGTTCACAGAGAACACTGCAGTGCAAAACATGTCTGGTACCTCTATATATGCATTTAGATTATTATTCGAGGTCCCTTCTTTTTTACACATTCTGCACACAAAATAGCTCACCCCTTACAGAATTTCCAGCCGAATTTTATGTATGGGGCGGGGCATAAAGTATCTTTTGCGCAGAATATGTACAAAAGGAGGGACTTCAAATGTTAAAGTAAATGCATATATACGAGGAGGAAACATAGGTTTACGTGGCATTACTCTCTGCTTAAACGTCAAGCAGTACAGTTCAGTCTTTGCTCGCTTTGTCGAGTTGTTCGAAAGTTCCTAGTTTGTTCCAAACATTCGCAGTTTAATTGCGTAGTGTCGGTCGCTTCGTGTGATGGGAAGACAGCGCTCCCGGAGCAGGCTCCGTGAGAAAGCGGAAAAGAAGAACAGTGATGAGTGTAGCTTGAGTGTACCTATTTCGAATAGGTACGCTACTCTTCCCACCGATGTTGGGAATACCAACCCAGTCCCGGTGAAGCGGACGAAAAAGAGGAAGAAGAATCAAGGACAGTCCGATGGTACGAGCGGACGCGACGATGTTACCGCGACGAATGCCAGCGACATTGGTGATTTCGGCGACGCCGTCGAAACTGAGAATTCTGCCGGCCCGAGTGCGGCGAAAGTCAAGCTTCCTCCACTGGTGGTGAAGGTAGTGCCTCTCAAGACGCTCATTGGCGATTTCACATCGCTGGGCATTGCAGCTGAGTTTAAGCTCGGCAGGATCGGCACCAAGGTGATGCTCCGTACGAAAGTGGAGTACGAGGTAGCCGTGAAATATCTGAAGGATTCCAAGGCGGAATTCTTCACGCACGACATCCCCGGTGAGAAGCCCTTCAAGGTAGTCATCAGGGGTCTACCGAATGTTGATCCCAAGGCGATCGAAGAAGAACTCAAGGACCGGTACAAGCTGGCCCCAACCGCTGTCTTTCGGATGACGAGAAGAGACGAAAACGTGAAGACGTACCCGGATTGTCTTTTCCTGGTGCACTTCCAGAAGGGATCGGTGACGCTGAATGCGCTGCAGGCTATTCGCTCAATGTACTCCATCATCGTACGATGGGAGCCGTACCGTGGAGGCCATCGCGATGTGACCCAGTGTCAACGATGTCTGAACTTTGGACACGGCACTCGCAACTGCAACATTAAGCCACGCTGTAGCAACTGCGCTCAAGACCACGCCACTTCCAACTGCCCTGCGGATGAAGCCGTGGCGTAAAAATGCGCCAACTGTGGTGGTGCACATTACGGTTCCGACAGACAGTGCTCCAAACGCGAGGACTTCAAGCGGATCCGAAAACAGGCGGCAACTAACAACCAACCAGGACGCATGAAGGACAAAGTCCCGGCGTTTCGGACGGAGGATTTCCCGCCTCTTCGTGCTCCTCAGCAAAAGCAAACGAATTCGCGGGTGCGTTCCGCTCAAGCAACATGCCCCCTGGATTCGTGAGACAACCAACGGCGAAAAACAACAACCCCGATCTGTTCTCAGCGGATGAACTAATGGAAATTTTCGTCAACATGTCCGGTGCTCTTCGTAAGTGCCGCAATAAGCCCGAACAGATCCAAGCGCTCGGTAAGTTCATCATCTAGTATGGCGTCTAAACCGCTAACTATCGTCACATGGAATGCTTGCTCTGTAAGAGCAAAAGAGATTGAGCTTGCCGACTTTCTCCGCAAGCACAGCATCAACGTGGGCCTTCTAACCGAGACCCATCTAAAGTCCGGCGACAGCTTATGGTTGCCTGACCACAACATTATTCGGCTTGATCGCATCAGCTCTAGGGGTGGTGTTGCGGTGTCCCATATCCGCACCTCTATCATCGAGGCCCTTGGTGTGGAGGTGGAGTTGTCGACTGGATACGTCCAGTTCATCGCCGTCTACTGCCCTCGACAGTGTGCCGCCAGTAGTGGACTAACGGCTTAATTCAAGAAGGACCTGTCCACCATCATCCGTACCGGTTCTCGCTTTGTAGTTGGAGGAGATCTAAACGCTCGCCATGAGGCCTGGCGGAACTACCAGCAGAACCAGAACGGTCATCTGCTGTTCGACCACTCACAGCATGTACTCAGTTTGGTTTTCGGATGAGCCAACATTTATCTCACCGGCGGGCAACCCATGGACGCTAGACCTGTTCCTGACAAATATATTGTCCAAGCCGGTAGCGTTGAACAAACTCAGCTCCAACCACCAACCGGTGATGGCTGAACTGGGCTGCAACGTGGCTCCTGCTTCAAGCCTGCTCAAGAACTACCATCGCGTAAACTGGGCCCAGTTATGACGCGTGGTAGACAGTTAAGGTTTCCAGCCTCAGCCATATGTCTGAACAAACAGCAAGCTGTTAATCAGGTACAACAGCTTCACACATCAGATGTTGTTACTGCTGCTGCTTCTGCTGCTGCTACTGCTGCTGCTGCTGCTGATGTCCTTCGCTGCCAAAGTTAGTTACAAGAATGTCGTCAACGAGTTTAAGTTTAAATGATCTTTATTTTAGTTTAACTTGGACGATTACCATATAAATTTTTTACTAAGTGATTTAATTGCTTTCTTCATCTTTAGGTATGGGCAAAATTTAAAATTTGTTTTACAGGATTAGTCCTAGACTTAGTACACGGTCGACCACCTTGGTGGGATTGGTTTGTTTTGTTTTTAGAATTTGAAGAGAAACTACTTAATACTACTATTTACAGCTTAAAACTAACCTACTCTACTATATACACTTAACCTACTATGTACAAATTGCTTATTAAAGCATGTTCAGAAAGATTGCATTTTTGAATAAATTTAGTTGTCATATCATCAATTTTGGAATCTACTTTGGGAATTTCTGCCTCTTGATGGAGGTCTGCTATTCTTGTGTCGAATGGACGATCTATGATCATCCTCAACACTCTATTCTGTGCAACCTGGATTTTGTTCCTGTGGGTCTGAGCGCACGATTCCCACACCGGGGCGGCATAGAAGATCGCGGGGGCTATGATCTGTTTGTAAACAGCCAGTTTGTTTTGCCTTGAGAGGCGGGATCTGCGGCAAATGAGCGGATACAAACACCTAACCAAGGCGGAGCACTTAACTAGGGTTTTCTCTATGTGCGAGCGGAACAGGAGCTTCTCATCGAACAACATCCCGAGATAAGTAACATCAGTGGACCACTCGACCCTTGTACCATCCATTATTACGGTACAGGAGGGAGACGGTTTAAGTTTTAATGATTGTCTGTGAAGGAACATGATCGCTTGGGTTTTCGAGGCGTTGATTTTGATTTTCCACGTGGTGGCATAATCAGTAAAGGTGTCAAGGCATCGTTGGAGCTTGTTCGTAATTTCACGAGGCATCCTACCCTTGACGGCTATCGCGGTGTCATCTGCAAACAGAAAGAACACGCAACCGTCTCCTAGAGGAGGGATGTCCGACGTGTAGATGCTGTAAAGCAGTGGTCCCAGCAGACTCCCTTGCGGAACACCTGCTGGGATCGTAAATTGTCCCGAAAGGGAACTATTCAACGACACCCTGAACGACCTTTGCTGGAGATAGTTACGGGTGATTTTCACAAGGTATGGTGGAAAGTTGGAGTTACAAAGCTTGTATATAAGTCCGTCGTGCCACAAATTGTCAAACGCCTTTTCGACGTCTAACAAGGCCATAGCTGTGGACTTGGATACAGCTTTGTTACTTCGGATGTTATTCATCACCCGCACTAGCTGATGATTGGTGGAATGCCCCTTGCGGAACCCGAACTGTTCCGGAAGAAGAATGTCATGTTCCTCCACAAACTTGTTTAGTCGGCTGAGGATCAATTTTTCGAACAGCTTGCTCAGCGCTGAGAGCAGGCTAATCGGTCTGTAGCTTGACGGTAGTGAAGGGTCTTTCCCAGGTTTGCGGATCGGGATGATTTTTGCCACCTTCCAGATGCTTGGAAAGTAGTGCAGCTCCAAGCATCTGTTGAGGATGGCAGCCAGCAGCGAGTGGACCCTCGGGCTGATATTTTTCAACGCTAGGTTGAATATTCCGTCAAACCCGGGAGCCTTCATGTTTTTACTATATTTCAGCGCTGAGCAAATTTGTTCCTCTGTAATCCGTTCTTCTGGAGGGACGGCACAAGGGGAGGTATCTAACGTCTGGACGCACTGCACAACCTGGTTCTCGAGTGGACTTGGGATTGTAGAGCCAAGCAAATGCGATTGGGCAATGTGCTCCCCAATTGCATTGGCCTTCTCTTCGTTGGTGATAAGCCGTTCGTCATTGACTCTAAGTGGTGGAATGGGCTTGGGGTGAGACTTCAGCACCTTGGCAACCTTCCAGAATGGTCTGGAACGGTCGTCCAGGTTCTGAACGAGCCGCCCGAAACTCTCGTTCCGGATTGAGACCATTCTGGAAGCGATCTGCCGATTCAGATCGACCATTTCGTATTTACGCTGCAGATCCCCAGTCCGCTGAAACTGGCGTCTACGAACATTTCTGAGCCGAATCAAGAGTTTGGTGTGGGAATCAATTGCTTGAAACTTACCCCTCACAGGAACTCGTCGAACGCACTCTTCGTCAGCCACGGATATGGCTTGATGGAGACCCTCCAGAGCCCGGTCGATGTCCTCCACTGTGTCGAGTGGTGGGTTGTCGTCGATGTGGCGGTCGACCACGCGTCGAAACTGGACCCAGTTGACTCGATGGTAGTCCTTCCGCTGGCACGGTGCAGGGGCCACGTTGTAGCCCAGCTCGGTCAGCACCGGTTGGTGGTCCGAACTCAGGTCGTTGACGGCAACCGGCTTGGCTAATCTGGTGTTTGCCAAGAACAGGTCCAGCGTCGATGGGTTGCCCGCCGGTGATGTGAAGGTTGGTTCGTCCGGAAACCAGACGGAATAGAGACCATGCTGGGAATGGTCGAATAGCAGGCGGCCGTTTTGGTTCTGCTGGTAGTTCCGCCAGGCCTCGTGCCGGGCGTTCAGGTCCCCTCCGATTACGAAGCGGGCATTGGTGCGGGTTATGATGGCAAGGTCGTTCTTGAACTGCTGTGCTGTACCATTGCTAACGGTACATTGCCGGGGGCAGTAGACAACGATGAACCGGACGTTTCCGGTCGATGTTTCCACCTCAACGCCGACGGCCTCGATGATGGAAGTGCGGTAGTGGGGTAGGGTGCAGTACTTGATGCCTTTCTTGATGATGACCGCGACACCGCCCCCCCTGGAGCTGGTGCGATCAAGCCGGACAATGCTGTGGTCGGGCAGCCAGAAGCTGTCACCGGTCTTGAGGTGGGTCTCGGTGAGAAGGCCCACGTCGATGTCGTGCTTGCGGAGGAAGTCTGCAAGCTCAATGTTTTTCGCCCCTACGCAGCGAGCGTTCCAGTTGGCGATCTTTATGGGTTCACGGTCCATAATTAGCGACGAAGGAGATGATAGCTTGGAGCTGTTGTGTTCTTGTTGCGCAGGTGCGCTTGATGATGATGGCCTGGGCCAACAGTGTGACGATCTCATCCGTTGACAGTGGAGAATCGTCTGTAGCTTCACCGGTTGTACCGGCCAATCCCGGAGCAGGGGGATCCGTCGATGGGCCGGAGGCTTGACTGGGTACTGCAGCGGCAGCCGACTGGGCAGCAGCCAACTGTTGGTTGAGCGGGAGCGGCGCCAACACTGGAATTGGCCGTGGTTGGACCGGTGATAACGGAGGAAAGTTCTGCGCGTTGTTTTCCGGGACCTTCTTGCGACCGGGCTGGTTGTTGGACGAGGCCTTCTTCCGGATCTCGGCGTATTCGGCCCGCTTCGGACAGGCCTTACTCGTGGCCTTGTGGGCAGCACCGCAGTTGGCGCATGTGGGAGCGGCTTCCTCGATGCTGTCGCAGTCGTCGATCTTGTGGTTTTTGCCGCATTTGATGCAGCGGCTGGCCATGCGGCAGTTCCTGGTGCCGTGCCCGAACAATAGGCAGTTCGAGCACTGAGTGACGCCACGGTGGGTTGGCTTATACCGCTCCCACTTCACTACGATGTGGAACAGTGTGCGTGTCGTATGGAGATCCTTCACGGTTGTGGAGTTCTTCTGCAGATGGACCAAGTAGAGCTGGTCACGATACTTGATGGCCTTGCTGCGGGTCATCTTGTGGATTTCGACCGGCTTGAGGCCGTTCGCCTTAATCTCGTCCATTAAGGTGGTGGTGTCCATGTCGTGGAGCCCGCGCAGCACCACTTTCAGCGGCTTGGTGGCCTCGACGTCGTGGGAGAAGTACTCCAGCTTCATCCTGTCCAAGAGGGCCTGGACTGCGTTGTAGTGATTTTCGGCCGAGACCATCAGTTTGTAGCCTTCCGTGCACCGTTGAATGGTGCAGCGAAGGCCCTGCTTAATGTAGAAATCCAGCTGCTCCCATAGCCCGGGAGGGAAGCCCTTCACATAGAAGGGTGGCAACTTAACTTTTTTCGGCACCGTCTCAGGGTCCGACTGCGGCTGGGCTCCGTTCTGTAGGGCGGAGAACGGATTGTTGCTCAGCAGCTTTTTTGCTGCCGATGCGGTGGCGCTGATGTCTTCAGGTCTGGGTCGTTTAGTTCCGGGAGGCCCCGGCTGCGGGTCCGCAACGCCTGTCGGGACGGGCAATGGGGTTTTCTTCTGCTTCTTCTGAGCTGGCTCGGTGGTCGCGCCGTCTCCTGGGAGAGTCTGTTTTCCCGGTAAGCCGGCACTCGCGTTACCGCGCGATTTCTTACCCATGGCTGGGTCAGCGAGAGCGTCACTATACAACGCGGAGCTAATTCGACTTGCGAACGAACGAACGAAACTAGAGAGAATTCAAATCGACTGAACTGCTCAACAGTCTGGCAGCGAATGATGTCGTCAACGAGCTTAGATAGCTCATATTTATACCCTCCGTATTTTCTCCTCGTTTATCCAGCACTGCTTGCTTTGCCAGTATTTCACCTCACATCTGTCATGCTTCACGCTAATTTAGTTCAACTCAAATGGAGTGTATCATTACTTGACACAACTCTCAAGTTTTTATATATTTATTTTAATATTATTATTTCACACCAACTATATCCACCACAAGGTACATCATCGACAACCCGCCGTCTGACACCGTGGAGGACATCGACCGAGCGTTGGAGGGACTCCACCAAGCCATAACCGTGGCTGACGAGGCGTGTGTCCGACGAGTTCATGTGAGGGGTAAGTTTATTGCCATTGATTCCCACACCCAACTCTTGATTCGTCTGGGAAATGTTCGTAGACGCCAGTTTCAGAGGACTGGAGATCTAGCGAGGAAACGTGAAATGGCCGATCTGAACAACGAGATTGCTTCCAGAATGGTCTCACTCCGGACCACGAAAGTTTCGGGCGGCTTGTCCAGAATCTTAACGACCGCTCCAGACCATTCTGGAAAGATGCCAAGGTCTTAAAGACGCACCCTAAACCCATTCCACCACTTAAAGATGAAAATGATGACGATCGGCTCATAATCACCCCTCAGGAGAAGGCAAATGCGATCGGTGAGCATATTGCCAAATCGCACTTGCTTGGCTCCAACATCCAAAGTCCGCTCGAAGTTAAGGTTGAGCAATGTGTACTCAACCTTGATTCATCCCCTTGTAGCCATGATTTTTGTATCCTATTCAACGGCCCAGAAACACCAATGTTGCCTGCTGAGCAGTTGATTGAGCATGATCATAAGACATCAGCGCATTGAACCATTGATAAAGTGGTCTTAAGCAAAGTTGTAGCTGGGAAAATTTCCTACAAGTACAATTGAATGTTTTTGAAGCAGACCGATTTGGTGAATTATTAGATAGACACGAACAAAAATCTTAGTTTTACCATAGTAATTCCCATACAAACTTCAAATGGTTTGTGCCATCTCAGTTTCTGACCAAATGGGTTCAAATTTTGAGAGGTTAGTCAGGATCCGATTTGGAATCGTTTAAGTATTGTGGAGCGAAAATTTCAAATTTTGCATCACTCTAGTGAACAAACTGGCTGTCTACAAACAAAGCATAGCACCTGCGATCCTATACGTAGCTCCGGTGTGGGAATCATGTGCACAGACACACAGGAACAAAATCCAGGTCACTCAGATCGTCCTTTCGATACTATTGCTGCTAGGGTGGGGTACCTAGGGGGCTACCAGGACAAACACCTCGGTGGGCTTGGCTAAGCAACGGCCTACCAATGAGGGTGGGTCATTCAACGACCTCTTTTGATGGCTAGCTCGATCTGGAGGGCAATTCTTAGCCTCAAGGTCGGCTGGAGTGATTTACCGGGCTAATCAGGACTCGGATAAAGTGTGGTTGAATGGAAAAAGCTACTGAATTACACTTTAGAGGTTTATTTCCCTACCAATTACATTCTATGTGTGTGTGTGTGGCGTGTATAGTGGAGGTTTTCTACAGATACCTGGCCGGCCGGCGACTGCTGGAACTTTTGTGCGGTGATGCTGCACGTGATGGTGGTTGATACGGCGGTGGTGATGCTGTACAGGCTGCACTATGGGGAAAGTGGTGGCCAAAAATCGAAAAATTGACTTGCTTTGAATGACGTATCTTGTAAACCATTTGATAGCCAGATAGTTCAAACCTAGATGCCCAAAATTTCAGCCCTCTGTGATGAAAACTCATTGCACAGACATCAGACTTAGGAAAATTTTGAAAATTGTAGAAAAAATGCATTTGAAACAAATGCAATTTTCTCAGCGAATAACGGATAACTGACGGAAAAGGATCATAACCAGTGCTGCAAAATTTCGACACTAAAAACTGATAATAACAAAACAACACTGGTCACTCATTTCAGCAGAGAGTCACCATCAGTAGCAATCAATATCAATTGTCAGTGATATTACTATCAGTGACGACGATGTGCAGTTTTTTCATTTGCTGAATTACTATCGAAATCAAATTAATTTAGCAAAACAGTTACATAGAACCATCAAAGTGAATACGAATAATCATTATTATCAGCCTGGAGAACAATAATGTGACACAGAATGCGCAAATTCACAGTTTTTTCACCAAGGGAATCTTTGTCACTGACAAAGAAAAGAGTGAGATTTTGACAAAGGAAATTTTGATTTTCAGTTCTATCAGTGTTGCTGCTGAAATGAATTTTGTCTATATCCACTGAAGTTTTCTCAATGAAAATGACAAATCGCAGCACTGATCATAATATCTTGCCACAGTCCAAAAATTGCGTCGATCGGTTTCGGTTTGGCCAAGTTATTAACGAAAGAGAAAATCGATCAATGCAGATACGCCCTTATTATGCTAAAGGCGAGATTTGGACGGAAAAAATATTTTCAGTAGAGGGGAGGTTCGATAGACAAATAATTCTTCATCAAAATACCTGATTGGTAAAACAATACTCTTATATCACGTATATAAAAAAATGGGGGAGGAGTCAGGTCTTGGCTAGGAGGGGGGGGGGGGGTTTCCACCTCCACCTTTCCTATTTAATCTTATGCACAGCAACCTTATTCTAGTTTTGATTTGCATTTGAACTGTCCCTAAAATTAAAAACAAACTTTCAAGTTTATTGTTCAGGAATAAGTAGCTTAATACTAGTTACACCTTCCGGATGCGATGAAAATACATAAATATGACTAATTTTATGCTTAACTTACTATAATACCAACAAAAAGTGCGGAAAAACCAATAAAATATTTTTGGCCACCACTTTGTATGGAGCCGCCCCATAGTGGGCTGGTGGTGGATTCGGCATTGTTAACGTCCGTAGTGGCGGCGATTATGGCGGTAACGCTGGCCGTGGTTACACCGGAGACTACGGTGTTGGTGATGGTGACGGTGGTTGCTTAAGGGCGTTTGGTGGCGCCAGTAGGTATGCCAAGTCACAATGGTGGACTGTGGAGAGGTGTCTTCTTCGGTGGGAGGTTATGTCCCGGCACCTTACACGAGGTACTGGCGGGTCCCTCTCAGGATTCTGTGGCTCTGCGGGAACGGTCGGGGTATGAATCCGGTTGGAACTCGTTCGGAACGGAAAGGTCCAAAGTGGTCCTATCCTCCGGGCCGTCGAACGGAACTGGCTCTCCAGCGGTCAATCGCTCACGGAAGGCCTGTCGGCGTGATCTGGCCAAACACCTCGATCGAGCGTTCTTAATAGGAAAACTTAACGGGTCCTATATTGCACAAAAGAAACGGTCTTAGGCCCGATTGTGACATGTGACCTTTTCAATCCCTGTACCATACCTGACTCTCTCACTCCACGCCTGCTACTACGACACTCTTACTTTTCTTCTCTATAATTTTAACGGTTTTTTTTTTAGATTGTTCAACTGCTCTCGTTTAAGGTTACTTGGCAAGTGGCGGAAGAAGTTTCCGTGCTACTCGCCGTTCCCTTTCTCTGTAATTCTCGTACCCATTCTCTAATGTTCCACTGAACTCAAATTGTTGGCTCATCACCTATTCCAGCAGTTGGTAGTAAACTGTGGTACTGTATAGTGTACTAAAACTAGGGTTGTCAAATTGGCAATTATTATTTAAATTCAAATTAACATGCAGAATACGATAAACATACAGAAGTACATCAACAAATGTTACAAACGGTAACAATACTAGAATAACAAATTTACACGAAGAGGCAGGCATTGCCAAAATAGATTCCAGAATTAACGAAATGAAGACTAAATTTGCACAAAAATGTATTTTATCAGAACATGCTTTGATAAGTAATTTGTATATAGTAGTTGTAGGTGAGTTGTAGTTGTAAATAGTGGTTATAAGTAGTTTTCTTTTTCAATTTAAAACAAACCAATCCCACCAAGGTGGTCATTCTCTAAAACAGGCCTGATAGGACTAGGAACTGTAATTAATAATAATTTAAATTCAAAAGAACTAAAGTTGATAAGATGCATTTGTGTCACTTAATAAGTTGCACATGTAAACCACACAAATTCGAGAAATAAAGATCATTTAAAGTCAAAGTAGGTTTCCGTGGTAAAGAAGAATTTTCCAGCATATATAAATTCAAAACTAATAATTCCTTGTAGGGAGACAGGGAGTAAAATGAGCAATTGAAACAACGGTGAAATCAATCAAATTATATGAACGAAATTAACTAATTAACTGTGCGTTGAATTGATCTAGATTTGAATTGATTAGCACTGAAAATAGTAAATTGTTAATTTTACTTCGTATGCTCGACTTCCCCTAACATTCACATTTCAGCGAAGGGTAAGAATAAAATCATTCAGATCGAAAAGCTTGAGAATTCAGGTTTAAAAACTGAAAAACTTAGTGAGATCTGTAGACTGACAAAATCGGGACAAAAGCTGATAAAATCGGGGGTAAACAAAATCATGAAAACACTGTATAAGTAAAAAAAAATCGATGATTTACCCAAAAGTTCATAAAACTTTTTCCGCTGATATTTTTCCTGAAAAAAACTTTGTCTCAGATGTAATGATTTATTGAAAATATCGAATACGCCATTTTGATATTTTATGCGTGATTCAAACTGGATGAAGTTTAGCTCAACTGCAAATGCAAAAATTATGCAATGTGCCATGCAAATCAGAGAAGATCACGCCAGATCGATTCGTTGTTTGGCGTGGAACTTCTCACCTCCGAAAGTTTCTTCGGATTTCCATTGAAAGATTGTTCAGACATCCTCCGGATGTTTTTTTTTAACATCCTCCAGAAGATTCTGCCAACTTATCCTGAAAGTTTTTTTTTGTCTGCAATCCTCTGAAAGTATCTTAAGACTACTTTTCTTAGAATTTTCTCCGCAATTTTCTTCCAATTTGCCGCAGAAGCTTGTTCTAGTTTTTTGGGGTGTTTTTTGCATCTTGCTCTGGAAGATTATTCTGACATCCACCGGCAGATTCCAGTAACTTCTCCTGGAAGTATATTCCGGTTTTTGGTCTGAACGTATCTTCTAACTGAAACCGGACAATTATTCCAAATTTTTCTGGAAGCTTCTTAAAAAATCCTGCTGATTTGCCCCGAACCTGTCTGTCTTTGAGTGACAGTTTTTTTTCCGATATGCCTCGGAAATTTATTTCGTCCTGGACAGAGTCGGTCAGCTTCCTTTGGAAATTTTGTCCAAATTTTGTTTTGACTTTTCTGGATGTTCTTTCCAGCCTCTCTTAAAAGATTACATGATGATTAGATTGAACGTTATTGAGCTGTTTTGGGCATGGACTCCAATTATTGAATAGTGAAGATTCATCTTAGGGATCATGTATAAATAACATAGCATTTTTAATAGAAGTTTTTTTTTTTATTAGTCTCTTTAACACTTCTGGGTTTTTCGTGACCACTACGCCCGGGCAGGCATGGAAAATCATTTGCATTCATTTCGTGCATTCATTTACATTCATTTGCCTCCAACTTTTTTCTTCAACAGCATTCCGCAAAATGATGCATAGAGCTTTTGTAGGTTTTGTTATTAGCTACAACTTTTGTTAACAAGTAAAATCCGTATCTCTTATGTATGGCGAACCAGAGCGAACAGAAACCACTATTGTTTTTCAGTGAATGTATTTTACATTCACTGAAAAACAGTAACAAGTTCTGCCCGCTCTAGTTCGTGATACATAAGAGATGCAGATTTGCGTTATGAGCAATAGTTGTATTTAATAACAAAACCTACAAAAGTTCCATACATCATTTTGAGGAACGCTGTCGATGAAAAAAGTTAGAGGCAAATTAATGTTAATGAATGTATGAAATGAATGCAAATGATTTTCCATGCCTGCGCCCGGGCGAAAATCAATATTTCAATTCATTTCAAAATATACTATGCCCATGTGTTTCTTTGTGTAGGGGGTGAACTTGTCTCCAACTACGATTTTGGACCGTATCAATGTCATCTAATCATCATTTATTAATCAATTCAAAAGATACCAGCTGCTTCCCTTGAAGCTTTTGTATCTCCATTTGTCACCGAAAAAAAAAACACATTCAACATGCCCTTCATGTCCTTCCTCTGTTACCCGAAATTAGGTCTCCACGCAAAACATTGTTTCAATTTGCTGAAAATTGGAAACTGCTCTGGCCATTATCATCGTCAGCAGTGGAAGCTCCAGCGAAATAAAAAAAAATGGCTAAAGTACACCAATTTGCAGTAACAACAGTGTAGCTCGTTTCGTAGCATCCAACCATCCTCCGAAAAACGACGAGGACGACGACGACGACCCTGACTGAGGATTGCCCTGCTACTGCTGCTGCTGCTGCTGCTGACGTCACGTGATTGCGGTGCGATGCGATGTGTATAGTGAACTGTGGCAGCCAGAGCAGAGCGTTGAGCAAAATCCCAGCGCGTTGCCATGGCAATGGCCAGGGAGCTTATTTTCGAAACGGAAGGGCGCGTTGGCTGGCTGGATGCAATTCCATAATGCGCGTGTACTCCATTGCTTCTGCTGCTGATGGCGGCGGTGGGTGGCTGGTCTTCCTTTCCGAGAAGTTAGAGGTGGTGTGGGGAAAGGATTTTTTTTTCACGAGTTAGTGCGGTGGATGAGGCGGGAAATCCCGGAAAAGGGGTACCAAAATGTTTGATTGCTTTCGATGGGGCACTTTTGATGACAAATTTGATTGGGTTGCCTTTTCGAGGCTTACGGTTTGTTAGCTTTGTCAATCGATTTGCACCAAAGTTATTCCATTATTTTATCGTACCAGTTTGTGGCGCCTTTGTTCGGTTTAAATTTTCCAACACAAATCGAGTTAAACTTCGCTTGGCTTTGCACGCGCGTTCGCAATAATGCTGCTGCCACCCCATAAATCTCGAATCCTTGATAAGCTTTACAATTTCAGGCTCGTTTCATTAAATTTGCCTTATCATTTCGTAAAAGATATCATGAGCCAACAAGAGGTGGCCGTAATATCCGTTCCGTATACTGGGGATGTTTATGGCTGCTCATCTCGTTTTTTTTTGGAGGAACAGTAAAAGCGAGAGAGGCTAGCGGATCCGGACGAGGCTGCGGCCTTTGCCATGCCTTCGCCTTGGGGGATTTTTATTGGATTTTACGATCAAAAGAGGACCGGCGAGTTATTTCAACCCCATTCCGGCCACTTCCGAGAATCGGCATACAAGCCCAATGGCACATAGTGAGAATGCCGGGAGGACGCAGACGTGCCTAGGATATTAGAGGAGATATTCACCACAACAATTCCTCTGCCTGTGCACGTCAACAAATTGCTCAAGCCATTGGAGGGGTACATTTTTCAAAGCACAGAATGCGGTAGGAGCAGAGGGTAAAACAAGACTGTGCCATGACGACCTACGCAATCCCAGAAACACGCACCCGAACAAAGGAAAATTAGACCTAATCTTATAATCAATCATGTTTGCCTTGTCAGCCGTAAGCGCCAAACAGCATCCCTTGGGTTTTACGGGGTTGCAGCAGCATTCTGGAAAATGAACGATGATGATGGAGGGGTTACGACGAGCGCTTTGCAACGAGGACCAGTCAGTAGAGTTCAGTGCAGTGATTCTCAATCGAAGGGCCGCGACCCACCACATCAGTCGGCTTGCAATCAGTTGTTTTAGAATTCGAAAATCATTTCGTTCATAGCCCGGCTCTAAATAAAATCGTACCTAATTAATTGCTGTGAAGTCAAATATCGTTATAAATAGTTTCAGAAGCTGAATATTAGTTACAGAGAAATCTTGTTTCTAACAAAGTAGCTGGTGCCACAAATCGGCCAATCTTTACAAGTTACAGAAGATGGGGATAAGTCCTTAATAAGCAGAGGTCGAAACATGTTTCTAATAAGAAGAAGCCGATGATTTTAAGGTACAGAAGGCTTAAATCGTTAGCATGTTGAAGAGGCTAAAAGTCGTGCCATGGAATACAGGG